TATATTGGCGAAACAGGAAGAAAAATTAGCACACAATTAAAGGAAAATCAGAGGCTCTGCAGGAAAATGAATACTAAAAGATTAGAAATAGCATTACACATTGCACGGACTGGACACGAGATCAATTGGAAAGCAACAGAAAGGAAAGCTCCATATAGTGACAAGACAAGGAAGCGGAAGATTAGGGAGGCCATTGACATCCTTGAGGATAGAAATCTAATGAACAGGAGATTGGAGGAAGGTAGAGTTAGCGATAACGTTGCCTACTGCCTAAGCAAAATCGGAGAAAACAAGAATAGAGCAAGACCAGCAAAAAGGAGACGCCTGGATCAAGGATCGACGGCTAACTAGAGGTTAACAGATCACGATGAAAAAAATGGAGGGCAGGGGTTTTTGCAATAAAGTGAAGACGTTGTTAGTGAGTGATGTCCGTATTTGAATAAACCAGTACAACTTTGGGGATCTGGCAGTCAGGGCAGACGGATAAGCAAACCGTCACGGGACTTCGGCGTTCTGGCCAATATGTATTAGAAATCCACTTGAGATGCCCCAAGTGACCAGATATAGGCATCCACAGTTTGCATAGATAACATGGGTTTAAACAAGGAGACAACCCGTGAAAGGAAGGGCCTGATATCTGCAAGCATGGCAATCTGAGCTTAGGCGCTCTATTCGGTGAGGCGGCAGTGTAAGGGTTTCTAGGACCTTGAGAAATAGCGCCTGGAGTGAAATGAACATTGAGACTGGAACCGAGTGAAATCGGTCAACCAGAAAGATAAGGAACGGATCTACGAGACAATGAGGGGATTCGGATTGGAGGCCCGAGTCGGATCAGCCGATCGAGAGAGAGGGGGTCGGGGTGAATAGCAGGTTTGATAAGACCACACTAGATTTGCCACAAAAGGGCACACATTTTGACGAGTTAAATGTATACAAGTGAGAAGTTGTGAGAGGGCAAGTGTGGGATAAGAGGGTAAAGAGTAGATAGATAGGCCAGGACAAAAAGAGGAGTGATGGTGTAACCGTTTTCGGCAGAACGTTTGTCGAGGGATTGATTTCACTTGTCTTTTTGACTTTTTCGTAGCTTGGTGCGAAGAATGGCAAAACCCACTGATGATGCCGCCTACGATGCCGGTGAAACGTTTGAGAATGTATCAAGTCCACTGGATGATACTAAGAATCATGACAACTACTATGGTAGGCGACTTCGGACTAGGTGCGTTCTACCATGCCTAACTTAGCTTGATTTAGTTGTATTCTATTTGGGTCAATCTACTAATCTCTTCATCTCACTTATTCGAAATGAAAATGAGCTCAACGATTTTAGACCAAGAGAATAATCAAATCTGAGCAATTATAATTAAATCAAACTGAGATTCATTGGGACTCAGATGATGAGATCAGTCTAGAATAGGGGAGATTTTTGAGGAGTAAATTTTCAAATGAGGGTATTAATCACTTCAATGTAAAAGACCTTAAAACATGTGTTCCAGAAGCAAATATGTAAGAATAATGATGGATGGCTCAGTAGAGTTCATATATTTGGACAAACTATCAAATGAATTGACAATTGTCTCCAACATAAATGCGACTGAATTCTCACATTATTTCACTATAGTCTCATGTAGTTTGTATTAAATGAGGATTTTCAGTTAAGAAAATGACCATTAGAGTTCCGAAAAAGTATAAGCCTCTATAAAAAGCGTTTTTTTCTAAATATTCATGAATTCACATCATAAAGAAGCATAATCGCAGTGATCAGAGCCAGCTTATATAAGGTTACATAATAAATGTTTAAGATGAATTTGGGAGGCAGGAATAATGGATACCTTAGCCATAGAAAAATAACCTAATATAAAGGAGGATGGAATAAGTTAAGCATAAACAGGACAAATTACTATGATATACCAAACACCGAAGTGAATTCTGTTAAACTCTACAGCAATTTAAATTAAATAAAAAAGCTAGCTAAAAGAAAAATAGTATCAGAAATCGTTTAAAGGTAAAAAGTAATATCTAAATCAGATAAGTAGAAACTATTGGAAAAAAAGATTGGAAGTCTCATCTCAATGAATTATCCTAGAGTAATAATATGGGAATGAAAATACTCAGGGTAATAGTATACAAATATTCTTGTAATAATCATAACGATCCGTGCTAGCTTTTGTATAATTAGTTACCCAGATCAAATAATATTTGATTAAAACTAAAATTCAAGTAATGCCAGAAGGAACAAAAATAATCTTGATCAAAAAGTGAAAATAATATACCCAAGGAGCGTCTATTAATCTCCTCTGTGATCTTGGCCTCGGCCAGAAGCTCCTCTTGCGTAAGACGGCGTACCTCAGGCACATTCTTGCGCTGTGCAATCTCTGCCAAAATTGCACGTCGTTTAATTGCAGTCAACTCAGATGTCAATGATGCAGACTTTCCAGTTTCCCCAGTATATCCATCAGAAGCGGCCTGTCGTCTGCGTCGCTCGCTAATCCCTTTGACTTCAGCTGTCGCTTGTATAGTGCTCTGTCGCAATTTAGGACGCTCTGATCGAGTGAGCGAATGAAAGATCAAAATAGAAGAGTAATAGTGAATATTAGGAATCATATTTATCAATATTTGCTAATAAGGCCAATACAGATAAAAAAATGGTTTAATAGTCTGTGAGTGTATGGATGCAGACGTAAAAATGAATTTTGGTTTAAGGTTGGTATTTAGGGTAATTATTGCATATCAATGGTGCTGAAATCTTGCCCTCACTAGGCTCAGCCCACGAAGATAATAGTGTTGAACACTACAAATAATCGAAGGTATGAAGACTAAAATGGTGTGGCCTTTTGTCTGGTCGCAGTCTCCTTTCGTTGTATAGAAGTTATTTGACCTTGTTTTTCCAACTTGGTCATACAATGGACTCCGGACTAGGTGCGTTCCTCTAAGTCTTTCTACCAATATGACCAAGTTACGACTACAAATAATGTTTGACAAATGCCGTTAAATAATGGTTCAATCCTCTAAAGGAGTCTGTAATATAAAAGAGGAGAGATTGGTAGATATGATTCTAAATTGAGCGTGGTCTTTATATACATGCCAATGGATCTGGGTTTTTGCTGGCAGAGACATTTTGGTGCGAGAGCGGAAAC